GGGGCTTTAATTCATAATAGGAGCAAAGCAATTCTATTAAACACTTAAACTTCGTTCAACTTCGTGTTCGTATTCCACCTTCAAAGTCGTTGTTCCAGTAATTATATATTTTACCAATTGTTCACAGATGAGCCACACAAAGGCCTTGTTTGTACTGATGACGTTGTGCTGGTCACTCTCCCCGTCCCTGTCCACCGAGCCTCAGTACGAGTGTCCAGCCCCGTGTAAGTGTGTGCAGGAGAAACGGCAGGGCCTGGGCCAGGTCTACACCGTCAGATGTTCCGACCTTGACCTGACCCAAGTCCCTGACCTGTCCAGTTTGGAGGCCGTCCCTCTGCCCAAGTACGTCAACCTGGCGTCCAACGACATCCTGTCTGTCTCCAACGCCGACTTCCGGCCAGATCTGAACATCGCGTCCTTGGACCTGAGCCAGAACAAGGAGGTTCAGATTGACGCAGACGCCTTCTTGAGCATGGCCACCACACTGAGGCAGCTGCTACTGGAGGATGTGGGGCTGACCTTCCAGAAACCTCTGGAGATGTTGGAGCAGCTGGAGAACCTGGAGCTCCTCTCTCTCAGCAACAACAACCGGAAGGGCTACGTGCCGGGGGCTCAGGATCACGTGACCGCCAGGCTACTCACGGGCCGCGTGGGCCGGAAGTTGAAGCAGCTGCGGATGGCTCACTGCGGGATCCGCTCCCTGGCCTCGGCCTCGCTCGACTCACTCACGGAGCTGGAGGTCATTGACTTGTCCAACAACTGGTTCACGAAAGTTCCCGACGCCGTCAAACGTCTGAGGTCTTTGACGGACTTCCATTTGTCGCATTGTAACATCAAGGAGCTGCAGGATCTAGAGTTGAACAACCTGAAACATGTGAAGAATTTAGACCTGAGCTCCAACAGTATAGAAACCATCATGATCGACGCTTTCCGGGGCACGGAGAACTCCCTGAAGACGTTAAACCTGGAGAGATGTGGACTTGAAGAAATTCCGTCTTTGGCGATCAGAAACTTGGAGAAACTGGAGCGTCTCGATCTGTCACAGAACAGTTTCAAAAGCGCGCCCGCCAACTCGTTTACGGGGAAATATTGTTTAAAAACTTTGCTCATCGGCTCTGTTGGTCTCAAGTTTGAGGCTCGCACATTCAGTGGTCAGAAGGACTGTATCGAGGAACTGACCATCAAACATATGGGGCTGACCGCCGTCCCCCTCAACGCCCTGAAGTCTCTGAACCAGTTGGCCAACATCGTCCTTGATCACAACGCCATCTCCACTCTCCCCAAGAACGCGTTCAGTGGAATCAAAGCCCACATCATCAGCCTGGCCAACAACCCTCTCTCGCACATCGAGGAAGGAGCCTTCTCTGGGTTACCTCCAAACCTGAACCTCAACCTGAGGCGCACGGAGATATCCCAGATAGATTTCCTCACCGGATATCCGGAAGACGCCATCAAAACTGTGAACCTGGACTACGCCAACATCGAGTGCCGCTGCTCCATGCAGGACTCGCTCAACGTCACCTTCGTCGTGGAGGTTTACGGAACTTGCCGGAAAGGCCCGAGGGTGGTGTCGCTGAGCAGCAGTCGACTTCCGGGCATGTTGGAGGAGGCGTGTGAGGAAGAGAGAGCGGCAAACTGGGCGTGGAGGGCAGGGGGTCAAGGACATTTCGTCTGTCTGTCTGTCATCGTGACGTGTCTGTGGGCGCTGTTCCCGCCGTGGTCGTTGGACGTAGACTGACGTAGATACGTGTGTGTCACGTCTTGATGAACTCTGGTTGTGTTGTGTGTTTGTCTGTGTGTCTGTCATCGTGGCGTGTCTGTGGGGGCTATTCCCAGCCGTGGTCTCTGGACGTAGACTGACGTAGAGAGTTGACATTGTGTGTGGGGATGACGTAGATAGATGTGAGGTGTGGGGAGCTGATGAAGAAAGGTGTGTGGAGTTGATGAAGAAAGGTGTGTGGAGCTGATGATGTGTTCCCACATAGATTCTGATGTCGTCACAACTTAGTGAACTCTGGTTGTGTTGGGTGTTTGTGTGTGTGTGTGTGTGTGTGTGTGTGTGTGTGTGTGTGTGTGTGTGTGTGAGTGTGTGAGTGTGTGTGTGCGTGTGTTGTCTGTTCGTTTTGTTGTCGTCGTCGTCTTTGCGATTACTGTCTTTGTTCTTTTTCCTGTTGTCCATGTTGCTGCAGTCATTGTCGTCGTCGTTGTTGTTGTCGTCGTCGTCGTCGTTGTTGTCGTTGTTGTTGTTGTTGTTGTTGTTGTTGTTGTTGTTGTTGTTGTTGTTGTATGTTGGTATGGTACTAAATGTTTTCTTGTTGTTGCTGGTGAATGTTGGTATGGTACAAAATGTTTCTGTTGTTGTTGTTGGTCTGATGGTATGGTACAACTATATAATTTTCTGTTGTTGTTGTTGGTCTGATGGTATGGTACAACTATTTAATTTTCTGTTGTTGTTGGCATAACAAACTGATGCCCCCCACTGCGGGTGAACCAAGGCACTTCCGCTAGACCCTAACCCAGCCACGCCTCATAACTCTAACACTTTCCGCACACACATCACCTCTGTTGTTTGTTGCTGTTATTTTCGCCTGAGATTACTTCTAGGGGCCAGAATTTGAGACAACATTTTGCATGTTTAAAAATTGGCGTAAGATGTATGAGAGAGAGAGAGAGAGAGAGAGAGAGAGAGAGAGAGAGAGAGAGAGAGAGAGAGAGAGAG